GATGTATTCAAAGTACTAAGTAGGGAAGGTACAATAAAAGGTAGGCTGTAGATCCTGTCCTCTAGAAACTTATATTTTAGAATACAATACTAATAATATCCATTGAGAATCTTAGAGACCACTCCTACTTACCCCAGTCACTATTCCCTGCTAAGATCTGGAAGTTAAGCAGGAAGTTAAAGACTCTAACAATAAGAAGGAACAAGAGGTTAGCTAAGGAACAATGTTAGCTAAATGTGGGAAAAGTCGAGGCATTTTGAGGGCCACAGCTGAGAACTGAAAATAGTCCCAAGATTTGGATCAGGTCAGGGCCAGAAATGAAGAGGAACCTAACCAGCACTGTGCTTGCAGCTGGGGATGAAATTTCAGAGAAGCCATCTGGGTCCAACCCCACAGACCCACATGGGCGTGGAGCACAGGATCATAGATCTGGATTCTCATGTGAATTTGCATGGGTTCCTTCTTGTGGACTTCCTGAGGTCTTTGATGCCACAAAAATGAACAGGAGCCAAGGCTTGGAGACTGGGTTGGAGCTCTTGGAAATCTCATCCAGCCCCTGGATTTGGCTGATGAGAACAAAAGGAAAAGATGCTCAGAGTGGTGGTTAAATGCTTTGCCCACACAGAGGAGCATCTCCAGCCCTCCATTGCTCTGCGTCGACAGCAATGGAGGGCTTTCCAGGTCCAGAGGAGGTGGAGGCCCCTTCCTCCTGGGATGGGGGTGCTGGAAGGCCATAGATTATGTAGCATGAAAACGCAACGACTTCTCTCCAACTCCATCTGATTCTCCTTCATTCTGCTCTTCCAGAACTTGGTGACAAAATGCTTCACCACATGTTTTATGATTTCACAGGCTGTCTGTCCTCGATCGCATTCCCTCTGAGAATAATCTCTCCTGAAGAAAGAGTGCTACCTCTTTAGTCAGCCCTTCCAAATGTGAGAAATTAAAGTCCTACCAAAGCAATGGTGAAAAGTAGGCTCACCCTCTCCCTCCTTCCCTTCATTTCCTTCCTTCCTCTAGAGTTTGCCAAATATTTTTTGAACCATTTCTCTGCTAGTGATCACAAAAGGCACGTAAAGATAAGTTCTAAGTCATGCTTTTGTAAAGCTCAGAGTCAGGGGGAAAAAAAGATACAAGTTCAAAATTAAGCCAGCTTCACAGAGGCAATGAAACTAAAAAATGATTCCAAGTCCCCCAGGTGGAACTGGAATAAAATATTCTGAGCAGAGGCGACTGGATTCTGATTTTCATTCATTCATTCTTTCTTTCTTTCTTTCTTTTTTTTTTTTTTGGTACCAAGGATTGAACCCAAGGAGGACACTTTTACCACTAAGCCACATCTCCAGCTCTTTGTAGTTTTTATTTTGAGACAGGGTCTTGCTAAATTGATGAGACTGGCTGTGAACTTGCGATCCTTCTGCCTCTGCAGAGTCCAAATTCAGCCCTGGGAGCTCTGGGTGGGAGGAGTCCACAGCTCAGTGGAGGTTTCCTCTCCGTCTTCAAAATACTTCTCAGATGTGATTTTTGTCTTGAGTTACTCAGCTGAAAAACAAGCCAGAAATACCTATTTTGCTAAAAATAACCAGTCCTCCTCCCTACACCAGGTTCTCCAAATCTGCCTTGGATGCCTCTGCCCCATGCAAACCCCCATGCCTCCCACATCCGTGACTGGTGATGTAAGCAGAGAGTCCAGAAAGGAAAACAACAGCTCGGCTTTGCTGCCCCTGCTTCTGAGGCCCATTTTAATCACAGTTTCCCAGATCCTCACGTCTCCCACTCCTGCTAAGTCCCTAACGTCTACTCATTAATGGTTTCCTTTTTTGAGTGCTAGGCACTTTTCATGCATTTTTTTTAAAACACTCTTCAAAACAAGTCCAAGATGTAAGTATTATTGCCCTATTTACAGATGGGAAAACTGAAGATAGGAGAAGTTGTTCCGTTTGCCTAAGGTCACAAAACTAGTTAACAATGGAAATGTAAAACCAGATTGCCTCAGGAGTTATAGTTCTCAAAGGGTGGTCCCTGGACCAGCAGCATCAGCAGCTCCCAGAACCCATGAAAAACCTCCTGAATCAGAAACTCTAGTGGGTCAGGCCCAGTAAGCTGTGTTCTAGCTCAGCCTTGAGGTGATTCTGGTGGGTGGTGAGGACAGAGAACCACTGCCTCAAGAATGTACCCTCCACCGCTGTGCTGTGTAGCATCTCCACCTTGCTGTTCTCCAAAGGCAAAAATATCACAGAGGCATAGGAGTAATCATCCAGAAAGATAGGTGGTTTTCACTTCTCCCCATATGTGTGTCCAAGAAGTTAAAGGTGACTCTTCACTCAAGACTCTTAAGTTGGCCCATTTGACCACTCCAGGTTCATTATCACACTGATCAGTCCATTGTTAGAGTTCAAAATTAAGCTCTCTCACCCTATAAGACATTCTTGGGTCCTCTCCATAAAGAAGGAAATCAAAGCTTAGCTATTGACTACAGCTTGATTTAAAAAAAAACTCTCTTTGTGACTGGGCAATGGTGCATGCCTGGAATCCCACCAACTCAGGGAGGCTGAGGCAGGAGGATTACAAGTTTGAGGCCAGCCTCAGCAACTTAGGAAGACCTTGTCTCAAAATAAAAAACTAAAAAAGAGCTGGGGATGTAGTTCAGTGGTAGAACTGGGTTCAATCCCCAGTACCAGGGCAAAGGAGAAGAAGAAAGAGAAGAAATTCTCTCTTTGTTCAATACAACCCTCTTCTCCTTCAGACTAACAGCTCATTCCAGTCACTACCTGGAAACATCACTGATCACAACCACCAGCCAACACTCACTGAGTGCTTGGTCTGTGTCTAACCCTCTGTTAGGTACACAGGTGAATTCTTTCAATTGTTTCTCATAACAACCCAAGACGTAGATACTTATTAGTAGCCTACTTCAAAAAGGGGACAACCAAGGCACAGAAAGATGGAGTCATTTGCCTCTGATCACAGCAAATAAACTGTTGAGACTCATGCTTCACTGCCTGGCTTGGGCCTTTCTCAAGACAGCCTTCTCTCCCCAAATACCCGACTTCCACATTCCAAGTTTGAGAGGACTCTTTGCAGTCATGCAAATCCAGCCCCTCGCTCTGCCTTCTTCTCCAGCACCTCCTTCAAAGCTGTCTTCTGTCACCTCCCGCCTGGGTTAGGCTTCCTGATGGCCAGCATCATTTCTTCTTCTTTCAGACCAGCTTCCTCTCCTTGAAGTGCTATTCTGCGTGGAATACACTGTAACTCCTGCCAACTCCCGAGTTTCTAAGGCAGGCTTTTTTATCTTACCATCTCCGCTTTGACCAGACACTTGGTACAACTTCAAACATTGTCGCCTGTGGTTTGGCTGCCTAACAAGGAGCTCTTGGAAGCCAGCCTCTTTTGAAGCCCACCTGACATTTAGCACCCTTAATATAGACTTTGTCTACCAGGGAGCAGGGTACGCTGAGAAGTTAGATGAGAATCCGGGAGGAGGCTATTTCTCTGCTTGTGATTTTTAGCCTGGTGGTGGAACCAATGCTAAGACTAGTGACATAAACTGAAAATGTAAAAGCCGGAATGCAGGGTGAGATGCCAATGTCGCTTCTCAGAGTTGGCTCATTAGCGTCCAAAGCAAGGCGTCTCTAGCAGAAGTGGGGAGGCCCCCTGGAGGGTCTTTTCCTCCCAGAACGACTGGGGGATAGGCAGGCTCAACCTTCAAGGCAAACAGGAAACTCGGCCAACAAACCAAAGGAAAAAGGAAGCTCCCAGATTCCTGTTCCAAGTAGCCTCCTGAGAAGGACTTTATCTTTGGGGAAAATTTTGCCGAAGGAAATTTGAACTGAAGTTGCAAGTTTCCTTTGTTAAGAAAAGCAAATAACATGAAAAGAGAGAGAAGCAACAAGGCAAAAGAATGGCCATTGCATAAGCTGATCTAATCTCTGGTAATATAAACTGGAAAGATCTAGACTTAAATGCACTCACAGAGAGGGGAGGAGGGTGTGGCAGCAGCGGTGGTTTGAGCAAAAGGGCTGAGCAGAGAGAAGGGCAGTACAATGATGCTTGCTAACCTCAGGAGCCATAGAGAGCTTTGTGCTCCACGTACCTGGGAAAGGAGATAATTGAAGCATATTAATAACACCAGTCAACTTTACTCTCGGCAGTCACCATGTTTTTAACCCATACCAGAATCATCTTAAGTTCCTCGCATACATCAACTAATTTAAACCTTACAACAACCCTAAAAAGTAGATACCATTATTATCACTTCCTTTGGGAGGGCTCAGAAAGGTCAGATACCTTGTTCAATGTCACACAGTTCATAAGGCTCATAGGTAGAATCCGAACACAGGCCATCTGGTTTGAAGGTTCCTAGTCTTGCTACTATACAGTAGCTGCAAAGCAGCCCACAGAATTAGTAATCTCCAGCTGGGATTTTTGGCTCAGAGGTAGAGTGCTCGCCTAGCATGCATGAGGCACTGGGTTCAATCCTCAGCATCGCATAAAATAAAGATATTGTTTCCACCTATTAAAAAAAAGAATTAGTAATCTCTGTTCTTTAAGAATTTTAATAACTCCTAGAATAGAAATAAGGTACAGAAGAAAGAAATTTGAGTTTGACTTTTGACTCTACGACTGAAGAATGTAACTTTTGATGTGGAACTTCATAGATGATTGCAAATAATAAGTGAAATAATGCATATGTCAGATACACAGTAGATGCTCAGTAAATCTTCACAAGAGCTTATACTCATTGACGCTTATCAGATGTTTGGCATGTGTTCAGTCCTAGATACATGCCTCTTGAATAAAGTTCAGTGGGACTATAATGTGGGTTTTGCACTCCTGCTTCATTATAGGGCATGAAGAAGGGTTATGGTGTGCGCCTTAAGGAAAACTTCTCATAACTTCACACTAGATTTGTGTAGTAGAAGCTTGAGCATAATTCAGATGAGGTTCTTGTTTTAAACAGCTTTTTCATTACTGTGACCAAAATACCTGACAAGAACAACTTAGAAGAGGAAAAGTTTATTTGAGGTCTCAGTCCATAAATGGCCCACTCCATTGTCTGGGCCCAAGAGGAGGCAGAAGCTGCTCCCCTCGAGGCAGCAAGGAAGCAGGGGGCTTCCCCCCACAGGAAGTACAACCTTTCCAGAGCACACCCCTAGTGACCCACCTCTTCCAGCCACACCCTACCTGCCTACAGTTACCACCCAGTCAGTCAGTTCAAACTAGGATGATATCAGGATGCTCTCTGAGACCAAAAGGGATGCAAAACTGGCCCCTGGTGGGAGGAAGTTGCAGGTTGCTATGGGAACTTCCAATTCAGTCTCCTTAACATGAGGCTGACTCTATGTCCTGTTTGTTGGGACAGTTCCAGTTGAAGTCTGTTGCTTCAGCAGATGTGTCAGTGGAATCTCTTTTCTTTCTTAAAAGTATCCCCATTTTGGAGAAAAGTTATAGTCATCCTACTTATCATGGATGAGGCTTCCTTCTGGATGGCCGAATTTCAGTTTCCCCCAGATCTGTCAGCTCCTGGTGGTCTACTCCCTCCAGGGCATCTTCAGGGACAGAGTTCCTTCAAGAAGACTCCAGGCTGGTTCCCCTCCCACAGGCTCATATCTGGTATCCACAAAAAGACGAGCCTTTTCCTCCCCTCTGTCTAAGAAACTGCAGCTCAAGCCTACTGCAACTCGTTCTCCTTCCCTCTCTATTTTTAAAGATTGAAAGTAGATGACTATGAATGCTAGCAGGCTTGGTTTTATCATTTCTAACATGTCTTTAACAGTAGTTCAATATCCTATTCTCTTATAATGTGGTGTTACTTAGCATCTATTTTAATAGGATCTGACTTTAGGACTCTGTCCATCTCCTAAACAATAGAAAGAGTTGAATCTAACATCTAATCATATATAATTTCATAAAAGAGAAGCAGAGGTGGTGGGGGAAGAAACCAGATCTCCTACCAAGCAGGAGGTTCTAATAGCAGTAGTCTATGACCCCATGCCACAGTGGATTCCAGGAATGTAGGAATATAGCTAAGCAAGGACAATTGTGGCTAGGAGTTCTCCACCATAAAGAGGAGAGAGATAATCCATCAGACTTCTATCCGTCTCCTCATGTTCCTTCTTTGATGATGCCAACGCATGTAGCATCTCAAAATCTGGAGCATTTCTTTGTCACTAGTGCACTGGATAAATAGTCTGGGCAGATTTTTCCTCAATTTTGAATGTGTAAAGGAAATTCTGCCTTAGAATTGTCTCTCTGATTGGGGACACCTGGCCTCATTACTGGGTGGAGCATGCACGGACCTGTTAGCCTTGCTGGTGCCAGTTCTTGGTCCTCTATCCGACCCAAAGAGTAGAGAAGCGGGCAGAGGCAAACTTGTTCCTCTCCACATCTCCAGAGAGTTGACAATGGTATCCTCCATTGCTGAAGGGTAGAAACTGAAGCATGTGGCCATACGCAGGATCACTCTTCTTGTCCCCATTTTTCTTGGGTAACCTTGTTAAGACTTCTGGATCTTCCCAAGCCACAGGCTGCATCAGGGGCTTAGCCAGGTCTGACTTTCAGGTCCTGCTGGCTGCATAACTTGAGCTCTGTGGAGTAGAGTGCAGAAACAAAGCAAAGCTTTTTAGAGTAATCACACCTTTTCCCACAAGCCATGTTTTCATAAGAGGTTTTGTTTTTTCCCAGCAGCAAGGTAAAGCAAGCAATTGAACTACCTTGTTCTCCGATCAATGAATCCATTGTGTGCTTCAGGTAGCAAAAGGGTTTTTTTTTTGTTGTTGCTTTCCCCTTATGTCCCTCTCTCTGTCTTTCAATGTTGGTTTGGAGCCAAAATTAAATTTGGCCATGGGCTAGGAGGGAAAAGAACTGGTTAGACAAACCTTTCTTTGGTTGGGATTTAGATTTCCATACAAGTTTATAGATTTATAAGTGAAATTGCTACTAGATATGTATTCATTTGTACACAAGTACTTATTCAAGCCTCCTTCCCCCCGATTCCTCACACCAGCTGACCTCCAGAACACAGGCACTAAGTGTATTGCACCTGACATGGCTTGATTATTTCACCACTATAAAAAGATGTAGGGTTACTGAGGTACTAGCCCATGCTGGCCAAGAAAGGGAGAATCAAAGATTCATGCTTCCCATGGACAAAGCTTCAGATCAAAATTCTAGAATGTCCTCATCTGCTTACAAATGAGGATAGAGGAGTGGTGTTATTTATTTCACTGTTTCTCCTCAGCTCACAGATGATTTGGACAGATTCTATTCTCAGTTCTGAGCTAGTTTAACAATAACTGGAGCCAAGACAATTTAGTGGAAAAGAATAGTCCTTTCACTGAATGATGCTGGGACAACTGGTTAGCCACGCACAAAAGAAGGGTGTTGGACCCCTGTGTCAGATGCAGGGCTCCCATGACAAAATGCCACAGAGTTGGGGCTTAAACAACAGGTATTTATTTTCTACCAGTTCTGGAGTCTGGTGTCTGAAGTCCAAGATCAGGATGTCAGCAAGCGCGGTTCTGGTAAGGGTCCCTCGCCTGGCTTGCAGATGGCCACCCTTTTGCTGTCCTCACTTGGCTGGGGTTGGAAAGACAGTGAGAGTTTCCCCTTCTTTTTTTAATATTTACTTTTTAGTTGTAGTTGGACACAATGTCTTTATTTTATTTACATGGTGCTGAGGATCGAACCCAGGGCCTCGCATGTGCTAGGCTAGAGGTCTACCACTGAGCCACAACCCAGCCCCAAGAGTTTCCCCTTCTTAAAAGACTAACAGATCTGATTAGGGCCCCTACTTTATAACCTCACTTAGCTTTAATTACTTCCTAAAGACCCTGTCTCCAGATACAGTCATATTGGAACTAACTGGAAATAGGCCAAGGACCTAAATGTAAGAGCAAAAACTATAAAACTTTTAGAAGAAAATATAGTAAATATTTATGACCTTGGGTTAGCCAAAGCCTTCTTAGAAATCACACAAAAAGCATAAATGACAAAAAGGAAAAAAAAATAGATGAATTTGATTTCATCAAACTAAAACTGTGCTTCAGTGGATACCAAAAGACAGCCCACAGGCCAGGAGAAAATACCTACAAAAGGTCCCTATAAAAGACCTGTGTCTAGAATATATAAAGAATTCTTACAACTCAAAGAGTAAAAGGACAACTCAACTAAAACATATGCAAAGAGTATGAATAGATACTACCTCAAAGAAGATACAAAAATGGTCAATAAGCACATGAAAAGGTATCCATGATCATTAGCCATCAGAAAAATATTAATCAAAACCACAATGAGATACTACGTTACCAACCAGATGACTGTAATCAAAAAAGGTAATTGTAGGCATTGGCAAGTTTCTGTGGAGAAAACAGAATCTTGAGATATTGGAGATAGAATATCAGTTGGTAAAGCCATTTTGTGAAACAGTCCAGCCACCCATCAAAAGGCTAAAGCTAAAGTTATTATGTGAAAAGAAATTCCACTCCTAGTTATATGCCCAAGAGAAATAAAAACATATATTCATACAGAAACTTGTATATGATGTTCATAGCAGCATTATTCATAATAGCCAAGGAGGGGAAGCAATCCAATGTCCAACAACTGATGAATAAATTAATACAATGTGGTGAATCTATACAATAGAACATCATTTGGCCCTAAAAGGGATGAAGTACCGATCTATACTACAATAAGGATGAACCTTGAAAACATTATGCTAAATCACAAAAAAACTACACATTATCCACTTCAATAAAACCCAAATAGGCAACTCAAAGGAGACAGTAAGTGTGGATTGTCTTGGTAGGCTGGGTGAAGTGGGAGAAACGGGGAGTAACTGCTAATGGATACAGGGTTTCTATTTGGGGTGATGGAAATGTTCCAAAAATAATTGTCATGATGTTTGCTCAGCTCTGTACTGAATATACTAAAAACTATTGAGTTGTATATTTTAAAAGGGTTGAATTGTAAGGGGAATGGGTGCGTGCGTGTGTGTGTGTGTGTGTGTGTATACATGCACATGTGTAACTGGAAAAATTATCTCACCAAAGTTGATGTGTGTGTTAAACTAGAAAAAAATATGACCTGAGATTTGAAACAAAGATGAAATTATGAGAAAAATGTGGGGGTTAGACCCAACATATGGGCTTTCGTTCATTCTGGAGAAAATACCAAAATGTCTAAAAGCTAGAAAAACTGAATTAGGAAAAAATATGCTCAGGAAACCAAGCCAAAGATCAGACTATGTTAAACTGAACAAAATAGTAAAGCACCATCTTATTTAAAGGAGTGAGAGCCCAGGGAAGTAACAGTTACCACATTCAGAATGCTTCTGGTCAGGAAAGGAAATAGAACCCCCAAGGACCAGCCACATGTTCTTTCCCTGGAAATGATCTGATGAACAGCAATACTTTTACTAATTACAGAAATAAATAATATAATTTATTTATTAACAGAAATAAACATGATTACAGAAATAATATGTTTAAGATAATATAAAAAGTACAGAGAAAAGAGGAACATCAATCTCACCATACTCCTATAAATTCTGATATTTGGTAGTGATCTCTCCTAAGCACATAGGTCCATTTATTAGAGCTCATACTATACATACAATATATAGTCAACATTTCCCGTTATTTAAAACATTCAGGGGTATCACTTTCAATCAGAAGAATAAAACATAATTATTTAATTATTTTCCTGATAGAAGGCATTTATTTCTTCAATCTTTTACCTTATAAATTTGCCAAGAAAATGTTGAGCTAGATTTTTGTTCATATTCAAATTTTTCCTAAATAAAATAATAAAATAGATTAAAAGTTATAAAAGTATTTAACAATAACAGTTCTTGATAGAACTGATAAAAAATGACCTATTATATATATATAATATATATATATATATATATATATATATATATATATATATATATATTAACAGCATTATGTGATATGCCTATTCCTCTACAAAATATGAGAAATCTTAAAAATAATTCCTATTGACATCCTAGGAAAGAATTCTCATAGCATTACTCATAATGGCAATAATTTGGGGGAAAATAAACAGCTGTCAATAGCAAAAAAAAAAAAAAGTTAAATGGCTCATGATTGATTATGTTTCAGTAATTTAAGTTGAATTGTTTTGAAGACAAAGAAATGACAAAGAAAAGCAATTTCACAAATTCTTAAATGATGTGCATGACAAGCATCAAATTCTTTGTAAGTTCAAACAACAAAGAAACACCATAGGCCAGGCACAGTGGTGCATACCTATAATCCCAGCTGAGGCTGAGGCAGGAAGGTTGTGAGTTCAAAGCCAGCCTCAGCAAAAGTGAGATGCTAAGCAATCAGTGAGACCCTGTTTCTAAATAAAATATAAAATAGGACTGGAGATGTGACTCGGTGGTCGAGTGTCCCTGGGTTCAATCCCTGATAACAACCCCCCCCCCCCAAAAAAGTAAATAAATAAAACACCACAAAGATTAGTCTGGGTTGTGGTTTTGTTTTCTTATTTATACTTTTCTATATTTTCCAAACTACTTATACTGACAATTTATATCATTATTTTCAAAAGTTTGTGGATTTAAATAATTAGCCCATGAGTTAATCCACTTTCAATGAGTATCTGCACAGGAAAGCTGGAAGTCTATGGGGACCATTGAAAGGTCTTGCTGCTTGGGCTTCCAGCTCCAGCCATGTTGCTTTCTACGTGTGCTTTGTGTCCAGGCCTTGAATGGCCTTCATTTCTCCTGTGACACATGACCTCCCTGTGCTCATGTCCCTGAGTCTGTATTTCTCAAGACTGCTTGCCTGGGACTGTGCTGAGCCATCCAATGAACATTAATGCCGGATGCACAGGAGGCAAACATCCAAGAAAGGAGTTCTGCAGTTCTTGCCAAGCAGTGAAGGAGAAGGTGAACCTGGATAAAGCTTGCATGAGGGAATCTAAACATAATCCTGACTTCAAGGACTCCCCAGATTGCAAAATTCTACAGACAGGAAGCGAAATACAACCAACATCGCTGCCACACCCACCTCTGTGAATCTCTGGTTACCATTCTCCGCCATGACCTCTGGCTTGTCCAGCAGCCTGCTAGATCTCACACTAAGAACAAAACAAAAGTAGGAGGAAAGAGCTATTTAAAAAAGATAGGATTGACAGAAAACTCAACTGTCAATGGAATAGTCTGGACTTTCTGGTTTGTAAGCCATTCACTCACTCACTGGTCAGGCAATGACAACATGCTGAATTACTGTGGACCTAGAGCCATAATGCTGGTGAGGTGATCCTTAATTTCAGGGACTCAAACAATGCTAGGATGCATGTATAATCAGATGGAAAAAACTAGATCAAAAATCAGTGGCAGTTGGCTTCCAAGGATGGGAAATCAGGTTGACCATATTCCTTTCCTCTCCAAGGAATTGTCGTAGCATGTCTGTTTTCTCATCCCCATATTCACAAGTGGCCAGAAATCTCTTCCTAGCCAACAGAGATCCAGAAAGTTCTGTTATTTGTTATCCTCTCTCTCTCTCTCTCTCTCTCTCTCTCTCTCTCTCTCTCTCTCTCTCTCTCTTTCTTTTTTTTTTTTTTGGTGGGGGGTGGGGAACTGGGGGTTGAACCCAGGGCTTTGCGAATGCAAGGCATACACTTTGCCGCTGAGCTACATTCCAGCCCTGTTATCTATTCTCAATGATGCTCCAAAATAAATTGTTTCAAAACTCAGTGACTTAAAAAAACAAACAAGAATTTAGTCTCACATTCACAAATCCTCATGATTGACTAGGGCTCAGCTGATTTAGATTGAGCAGGCTAGAGCTCCCACCTGTCATTGGTTCTAGCCTACCGGCTGGGCAGTAGGTATGTGTGCTCAATTTGGGGCCCAGGATGAATGAGCAATTGTTCCTAAGGGAAGTTCTCACAAAGGACCACCTTGACCCAAAAAGACGGAGTTCTGATGTACAGGTTCATTTCAAACCTCTGAAATGTCACATCCACTAGTATTCTCTTTGGCCAAACTCAGAGTTAAGGGACAGAAAGTGCACTCCACCCACCACAAGACCATAGCAAGCATGTTGATAAATAATCCTCTTAGAATACTATGAAGAATTGAGAAAAGTAATTCTATTTTGCACAGTGATGATTAAATTTCCAGGATCAACCAATTCTTTCTCCTCTGACTACTTTCACCTTTTTTTCTAGGTTCCCAGATAATGTTTGCATCCCTGGGGGGTGGTAGGGGGCAATTCACCAGGAGATCAGTATTATCCACCTAAATGGAGAAGGAACAATTTTTCTTTGGGAAGGTTTTGCCCAACCTGAAATGTGTCAAAACATCTCCATTAATTGAAAGGGGACACAGTTATGCAAAGCCACTGAGTATAAAGAACTTAGAGGCAAAAAGGGAGTGAAGGGAGAAAGCATATTTAGCAAACAGAACTAGAAACGAAGTTCAAATCATTTCAATTTTTTAAGATATTCAGGAGAATGTTCTCCTGAATCCCTTTATTCTTATTTCACTATTTTTTCACAGAGACAATTGTAGGGGGGGAAAATCAATCTAATGAGTAGAAAATACAACTACCCATAATTCTATCTCTCCTAGTTGGCTATTGTTGAAATATTTTATACATGGACAACTACAGAGCCCTGGAAATCAAGGTGATCCTACCTAAGACAATGCAGTAAAAACGTAAGGCTCTGGATCCTGGGGGCTTGAGTACCAGAAATTCTTGTTCTCAACCCTCAACTACAAATGTCTGGGTCAGTCCTCTCTTAAGGACTTGTAAAAAATGTCTATTGCATTTGCAAAAGTACTTTTTACTTTTGCAAATGGAATCAGATATCACAACTACCTTTCACAGCAGAACAGTTTTTCTTAACAACAAAGATTTGATTATATAATTTTAACTTCTGCTTTGT